TCCTTTCAGTGTAATTTACTTTAGTCTCAGATTCTGCAGCATGCATGTTTATACTTTATAACCAGAATGTCGGTAGTGTTTTTGTAAAAATGAATCAGCTGGTAGATTGCCCAAATCGCTTGTCAAATTTCACGACACTTCCTTATTTCATGTTTGGCCAGACGCTGTCTGGTTTAAGAAAAACGATGTCATAAGCGCTGCTATGGCGTTTTGTCAAAGTTGCTCGGAAGAAACAAAATATCGATGCTTACTTTGCCAAAAACCTACGTGCAATCGCTCAACTAATTGTTCGATTGCCGCATCCGAAGAATTACCGGGATGGAAGGCTGGTGTAGCAGTTGGCATATGCATACCCTGTGAAGAAAGTAGAGGAGTTGTCGGCAGCAAACGAAAAGAAAATGTAGACTTTTCAGCCGTTTAAGCTCTGACATTTTTATTGTACAGTAGTACATGTAGTCTCAACTCAGAAGCAATTCAAAAACAATTTGCACTTTAAACTCAGAAACAATTTGCAGTTTTATATACTTTTTAATTGGTTACTTGGTATGTGTATTGAAATATATTACTGTTTAGTTCAAATTTACTGTAGTTATATTAAATGTTATATTTAAGCCGTGTGGTGATTTTCTACAAGACCTGTATTAAGCGGTCAACCTGTATTAAGCGGTCATTTGTGAAATCCCCGAGGGTGACCGCTTAATACAGGTTCGACTGTATATACCTCCACTACAGACTGTACCAGCAATTCAACTGTGTATACCACCATATATTAAATATGACTGAGGATTTAGAGGTGCCAGCTAGCTAGGTTCTGTTCTGAAATACCATGCAAATAAATAGGAAATTCAAATAATAATAGCCAGCGCTGGCTCTGCTCCAATCGTGATCACAAGCCGACAAACACTTAATAGAATATATAATTTATTACATGTGTATTAAATTTCTTCACATTTTGCTATATCCCAAACTTACATTCAATCATTTTCCGGCATTCATTCTTACAATCCCGACATGATCGACATCTTCGTGCTTACCTGAGCGTTGGAAAGTTGACTTGCGTTTGGCTTTTGATCTTTGCTTTGTTCATTCTCAGGTTTTTGAGATTTTTCAACTTGCTTGGTGATTGACGACGATGTCGTAAACTTCCCCTTGGTTTTCGACTTTCCCTTCTTGCCTTTGTCTTTCTTCGCGAAGAAATTATCTAAAGACTTGTCTTCATCCTCCATGGTTTCTCACAAGTAAGATGGAAAGGCCGAAAAGGCCAAAAGGGAAAAATAACGTCGACCAAGCAAGCACAAAATAATTTCTTTCTTGCCAGAAATTATAATTTCTTCGATTACGACCATGTGGTCTTCACCGTCCCTGTTCGCCCCCTATCTTCCTAAATATACCCCCATTTACCCCAATATATCACCGGACCGGACTACATCAGTGATTTCCAATTTTCCACCGGCATCTCGTAGATTGGTTTGGTGGTAGGTTAATTAAACAAAGTCTAGCGGCGTAGGGAATTTCCTGCGTTCTGGGGAAGATTTGACAAACAGAAACCTCGATTTAACCTGCTATAAAGGTCCAGACACAGCCAGTGCTGTAGAAGTGGGGGTCGCTTGGGGGCGGAGCCCCCCTTCTTCAAACTCGGGGGGGGGGGGTGCTGAGCCACCCCCCCTTCTACTTTAGAAAATCGAGAATTTATTATGTCACAGAGGAGATTCAGTCATCTGGTGATACTAAATACCGAATGTACTCATGTCCAAGAACGACAAGAGAAAATGTAACTTTGGTTCATTTACGAAGCAGGATCTCTGTTACAATCTCAACAAAAATATTTAGTTTTGATTTAAAAAACTCCAGCAGAATTAGTCAGACTTTTGAATTATAATTAGTTTGGACTATCATTCATTATTCCTTGCACATAATTATGTAGATTAGTTCAGTCTTCATTAGCACGCTGGACAGGTGTTTGTTTTTGTTTCCATTTATTATTTTCTTGTTATGTATTAGTGGGCGCGCACTTTCCAGAAAAAACAATTTCTAAGAAAGGTAAGGACGATAAGTATGGAAACTGCAATTTAAATTACGCTTAAATAAGGCATTACATTTCGAAGAAAGAACTCTATTGAAGGAAAATATACTAAGCGAATAAATTTACCCGTATATAATGACTTGCTTAAGAGTCGTTCAAGACATTTTTAAGAGAAACTATCAGGTTTTATTGCATTTTCGGGGCTCTGAGAAGTATCAGATTTCAAAATTTCCCGGACCTCCCAGTCCCAGAAGGCTCACCTTCGGCGTTCGCTAGCCCCCCACCCCCCACCCAATCAAAAAATGCCGCCGCGGTAAGGGCTATAGGTTTACCCCTGGTCATCGTATGGCTCACCCCTGGTCGTCATATGACGTCACGTTTTTACGATTTTCACGAAACCGCGCTCGTCAGAGCTGAAGCCCCCCTCTGGTAAATTTAGTTCTACAGCACTGGACACACCGGACGCGATTCGACAACGCGACGCGATTTTTCGATTTTCACTGACCGATAACTTTGATTCTAGTTTAAATTTTCCAAATATGTAGAAGCGGTATATAACATTTTGAGTTATTTGGTCTACATATCTTTCAAAATTTGTTCTCATTGACTGTTTTATTAACTTTCAAAAACTAAAAAATCGCGTCGCGTTGTCGAATCGCGTCCGGTGTGTATCGACCTTACACAATGCAACTGTTTCAAGTCACATAACGAGGAATCGATATGAATATTTAATACCTTTGGTGGGACTCATCCCCCCCCCCTCATTATAAATATTTAATACCTTTGGAGAGGCTCAGCCCTCCCCGCCCCACACACAACTGTTCCTTCGGCACTGACTATATGTGATATGTGGAGGGCAAATGCTGTGCTTTGTCTTAGGGGCTGTTTATATATGGAAGCCGGGATGGCCCCTCAGCGGGGAACACAGGGAAGTTTTGTAAAACGCACACCATGCATTATACGACTATGACTAGGGTACCTGCAAGGTAGGGATTGCTGCGGGCATAAAAGCAAATAGAACTACAGTAAATATAGCACAAATTATATCAAGCACAGTTATTACTCGCAGCGACTAGTGAGCTGTGAGCTTAAGGCCTTGAGCCAGTAAGGAATCGATTCTTACCATGAGTGACACTGAGAAAAAGCAATATATATTTAAACAGTAGCCAAGACCAGGGGTTAAAGGGCAATCACAGGTGACAGATATTAAACATGTGCGTTTCATTGACATCACGTTTTTGCTATCAGATTTCATATGAAGTCCGTTTACTGCTAGGCGCATTCACCACATGGGTAGGGGTAAAACGCGGAAACGGAACGGAACGGACCGGCGGAACCGGAATGACGGAAACGGAAAAACGGAAACGGAAAAGAGGGTAAAACGCGGAA